ATTTAATTTAATTTAATTTAATTTAATTTAATTTAATTTAATTTAATTTAATTTAATTTAATTTAATTTAATTTAATTATCTTCCGGACGGTATCTTCCCCGATCGTCGTCAGTTTCCGGTGACGACTCGCGCATGCGCGGTGAAAGCGGTGCGTCACGTCGCGTCTCGATGTCGTCATCACTAAGCTCGGCAAAGTGTGGCTGACAAGCAACAAGCTGCTCGTCCACAGGTGAGTTTGATGCCGTTGGGACAATCGCTGTTCGCTCGTTTGACCCCAGAAGATGTCTTCACTCCTCAAGGTGGACAATGAAATCAAAACCAAGGTGAGGCCTCACTCCGAAAACTCCGCACGACCTGCCCCCGTTCGCTCGGCTAGCATGTTAGCCTCAAGCCGTAGCATGCCGTGCGATGCTAACGGTGGCTAACCGGCCCGTGTCCCGCATGCTCACGGTTCGTCCTGTCCAGCCTGCGGGCGGGTGACGTGTCACTCTGACGTGGAGCTCCGCGAGGTGATGCGGAGAGAAGTTTGCGTTCCGGCCCCGCGTGTTTCTCGCGAACAGCTGATCGTGCGGTTGAGCACATGCGTGAAGCCGCGGGCCTTAGCCGCTAAGCTAGCTGCAGTGTTACCGGCGTCACGTCATCTGAGTTTCTAACTGTCTCCATCCGATTTATTCATGAACCACGTGTTTGAATACTGCTCTTAAATAAATGACATGTGACCTGACGGTGCAGCGAAGATATTCACTGACAACCATCAACAACATTCACATTCATCCACAAACTAAAAGAGCAACACGCTGCTTCATCTGGTTTTATTCTTTATGTGTTTACACATTTATATCTGGAGACAGAACGAGTAATACAATGATAGGAGCAGTGGAAGCGCTGGGTTTAAAGTTTTCACATTTCCGAAAATATTATTACTACTACTACTCGATAACTCTATGTTTTGATATTTGCATGAAAGCTGTTTAAGATATCTCAGTGTCTGGGCCTGACTGTGATGATGATGATGATGATGTGGACAGAGGCATCATCCATCCTCTTAACGTTGTTGTGATGTTTCAAGTGCAAGACTTTTCCTCAGACCTCTGATAAATACATCGCCATCTTAATTACCCATAATTCATGTTTACAAACATTTGATAAGTAGATCAGACTCCACCTTCATGTTCACTGAGTTTTGTTCCAGTGCATGTGCTGTGAGACAGTGGCCTCTGTGGCCCTTTCTCTTTGTTAAGGGGCCATTTTTCAAAGGTTAAAGGTTAATCTGTCCTTTGTTCACGTCGGTCTGATATTTTGGCTCTTGGTCTGTGTTTACAGGTCGATGCATTCCGTGAACGTATCACTGCAGAAGTAAGTATCTAACTTTTAAAATAAATGTGTTACGTTCGCTGTTACACACAGTTTTCAAAACTGTTTGGTTTTCCAGCATCTCTCATTCATAAGTTTTTGTTTCTTTCAGGCAGAAGATCTAGTTGCAAATTTTTTCCCAAAGAAGTTGCTGGAGCTTGATCACTTCCTGAAGGTCAGTGACGTGTTCTTTCAGAGACAACACACTGTGTATTCTCACGTCTCTGAACACGTGTTCACTAAATACACTTATTATATTCTAGGAAGGTTGAAACTGCAAATATTTGGCACTTATGCTTTGGAAGTAATGACTGAAAAGTTCACTCCATTTTCAAAATAGTCTCTAATCCTGGTTGTCATTTAGGATCCAATCATAAACATCACTGAGCTGAAGGAGATCCACTCGGATATTAACCTGACGGTGCCAGACCCCATCCTGCTCTCAAACCTGCATGATGGACTAGAAGCGGTGAGGCTCCATCTTTCAAGTTAAATTCAGTCCTCTGCCATCAAAGTAGCTGCAGTGTGTAGAGCGTGAGCAGCTGTGCCTAAACATGTTTTTATGTGTTACAGCAAAATGCCAAAAAGAGGAAGCTGGAGGATGGAGGTGGTGAAGATATGGGTGAGTTCAACTAATAAGCTTTTATCCTTATTAGAAGATTTGACATCAACCTCTTTATACATAATAATATTCTCTGCTCCTCATATGTTTGAAATGGCTTCACTTTCTCTTCTCCGGTCTCCCAGTGACTGGCACCAAGGTGTTCGTCATGCCTGGTGGGATGATGAAGAGCAACGCAAACCTTGTTGATCTTATTGAAAAGGTCAAGCCAGAGATCAGGACGCTCATAGAGAAATGTAACACAGTAAGTAACATCTTTAAACATCACTCCTGCATCGTGTCTCCCCCCGACAGTTACTTGACTGATACCGTTCCAGATGTGGCGTTCCTCAGTTTTCTTTTCTCCTGCAGGTCAAGATGTGGGTCCAGCTGCTCATCCCAAGGATAGAGGACGGCAACAACTTCGGTGTGTCGATCCAGGAGGAGACGGTAGCTGAACTCAGAACAGTTGAGGGCGAGGCAGCATCTTATCTCGACCAGATATCAAGGTTTGCAGAGATTCTTATTGTTTTGTGTTGTAGAAGGATGGAGCTGCTCCTTACCAGCTGTAGTTTCTGTTTTTCACTTGTCTTTGTGATTCTAAGTGTAAATGTAACCAGTTTACTATTTTCTGTTTGCTTTCCTCAGATATTACATCACAAGGGCCAAGCTGGTTTCTAAAATAGCAAAATATCCACATGTGGTAAGTAAAATATACTACAAAAACACAGAATGCAGTAAAACGCTGTACAACATTGTACATGATTCTTTTATAATGAAGCTCTGGATCATGCTTTAAGTTTTTTGCTGAAAAAAGTTGTTTGAGACATTTCTCAAGCGGAGACGCGGCAACTTCTCACTTATTCTCTACTCATTCACCATCTATTCTTGTTTTTCCTGTATTGATTATGCTAAGCTAAAGCTAGCTCCAGGGGTGTCCAGGAAAGAAGCCTCATTATCTTTACTTGTTATCGAACTTCCTGTTCATTAAGAAGAAGTTTGTTATCTAATGTTTTATTTAAGAAGTTTTGTTTCATGTAACGTTCAGCAGCGCTGCACCAGAGGTTTTTTTATATTGATCACTTAATGGGATTAATTTAAAAGAATAATATTTGATCTTTATCCACATGAATGTTGTTTTAAAAGGGGCAGAAAAGTTAAATGAATGAAAATGTATAATGATCACGTGTTTCTGTTGAATGTGATGTATTTTAAAGTCATTAAATATTAATTAACAAATCAACCTTTGTCTTCAGGAGGACTATCGGCGCACAGTAACTGAGATTGATGAGAAGGAATACATCAGTCTGAAGATCATAGTCTCCGAGCTCAGAAATCAATACGTACGTCATGATCTTTATTCTTTAACTTTATTAACAACACGCAGCTCACATGTTATTTCACATATTTTTACATACATAGTTTTTCCCCCGTGATCACAGTCTTTTCTTTTTCTAATGAAGGTAACGTTACACGATATGATCCTGAAGAACATTGAGAAGATCAAGAGGCCTCGAAGCAGTAACGCAGAAGCCCTGTACTGATGTTCATCCAGCCACCGCCCAGACCCCCCCCCCTGTCCCCGTCCCCTCGCTGCCATGCCTGTCGAGCCACAGTAGCCTGGCCCTGGTCCACAGGACGACAACTAGACATTCATCAACTTCAGTACAAATCAACACAGCTCTTTACAGAAACGTAGCTTCAGACATGGACACAACACACAGGTTCATTTTTTTTTTCTTTTGTTTGTTTTAATTGTAAAATATTTTTCTTGTTTTAAACCCTTTGAAGACATAAATATTATCTCATAAAAACAGGAGATAATAATGACAAATGTATTTTTTAATTTTAATGAAACATTTTGTCTTCAGAACTTTGTGAAATCGCTTCGTTCAAAGCTCTTCAAGAAAAGAATTAAGAGAATTCAAAGCAGTCGTTCGTGTCCCGGCCGCTGCTCCAGTGAATGTCGCTCACTTGTTTTTGGTTTTGTTTATTCGACTGTTGTATCTTGTGGACGTTGTTTAGAGGAAATGCAACACAAGCTGTTTTTTTATTTTTTTCTCCTAACGTTGTCTGCACATTACACATTATAGTCATAACAAATATGATTATGGAGCAGGTTGTAGGTTTCACAGACTTGATGGTTTTCAGTGAAAATTCATGTAAGTCACCAAAGCATCTCTTCTGTCGCGTCATTGATTCTATTGAATAAAACATTTTTTGATAAAGATGTTGAATATTTTGTGTGGTTGCAAACATTTTTAATGAATTATCAGATAGTGGTTTGTTGTCAAGATGCTCATACACAAGTTTTTGTGACTGCAAACATTAAAATACCTCATTACAACCATAGATTATGAAAAGTTTGCTGACACATCTCCACTTCCTCCCACGATCCAGAAATCAAGCTGAAATTTCTCAGATCCAGAGTCTGCCGCAGTCGGAAGTCCTGTCGACCAATCGTGAGTCAGTCTCAGCTGTTAATTATGAAGTAAAACAAAATTTACTGGACAAAAATAACCCTCAAATATTCATTGGTGTGATCTGACCCTCATAAAATGACAGAAACATTTGGGAATAATTTATTTGGCATGTTCTTTGTCTGGTCCATGTCCCATCCACAAACGTGGAGTAGGCAGGGTGTATTACCTTTACAGCAGCCATCTGTATATACACTCACATAAATACAGTACTCTTCACATCCAGATGTCACTGCTCGTGTTCAAAAACACTGTTTATTGTGCTGTACGACTTCCGGGTTTATCCGTAAATGTTATCTCAAGTTATGTCACAAACAGGTTCTTTGACTCTTCTGTCTGTCCCGCCACTCGAAATGATAAACGTACAGAATCTTTATCAACAGAATGAGCTTCAAATATCAGAAGTACTTGACCCTGCACAGGAAACCTGCCCCTGTAGAATATGTGTGTTCAAACAGAAACTTCCACGTTGCTGGTTTATCAACTTGCGACACAATAGTTCCCAACCTCAGCTCTCCAAAGGGTCACAAGATAAACACGAGGGGTTATGAGATAATTAATAAAGGAGATAAGGGGAAAATAATGATGCAACTCAGATTGATTCATTTAAAGGTAATATTTTACCACTTTGAACCTCAAACTATTATTTACCTTCAGTACCTGAGAGGTTCAGACGGGAGATAAGTCACGAGGTGCAATAAGTCAAATACTGTACATACAGAGTTTTTAAGAGGAAAAACCTGGGAACTTCTGTTATAAGATGAGTAAATACACAAAATATGCAGTATACAATACAATACTGATTTGTTGGGGTTGATTTCCCAACAACAAATATTCAGTTTCGTATTTAAAATGTTTCATTTTGGGTATATTTTTTTTTTAATGTATTTTGGGTGTAATTCCAGTATTGAGTCACTGTTTAACTAACGTGAACTACATCTGACCATGGAGGCGGATTTTGTTGTTGTTTCTCCTGATGAGACAGTGAAGAGGTTAAAATCTGCAAACCTGAGAAAAACATCCACGGTGTCGTAAATGTAAACAGCAGAGTGTTGCTCAATGTTCTTGTAAAGTCTGATCCCACCGACTCCCTCCCTCCCCCGTGTCTCTATCACCCACCCACAGAGCAGCACCATATAGATTAATCCTTAAGAGATAAGCACCGGAAAAGGTTTCGGTGGCTGAAAAGGAGACTTGGGATCTGCTGGTTGGGAAACTCACACGACCGCGGTTATTATGTCATCAAACAGTTTCCCCGTGGCCCTGTCTGCTGTCACCGTGTTTCCATTCAAAGTGCGATGACGACCACCACAACTCGTCTTTCCTCTACTTTTATCACCTCATTGATTTTGGATGAAAATGGATTCATTAATTCTCAGTTGTGTGTCGGTTGTGTAAGTCCTGCCGGTGTCGGCACCACACATTTGAAATTTCCCTGATACGTCACCTGAACAATGTACGGATTTTAAAACCTCAGGGGATCACGCGTGTTGCCTGCAACACTCTTTGCCCCTTGACCCTCCGCGTCGCTTCTGAAAGCTCTCGGCGGAGGTGAAAGGCAGAGTCACCCTGTGGGACTGCTGAGTGACAGGAGCATGCGTTAGTTAATATTTAATGGTTGTTCCTTCCTGAGAATGAATCAGTTTCAATCCTAGACGTTCGGAGAAAACCTTGTACTAAAAACAGTATGACTCTTTTAAGATTAGTTTCAGCCGCATCGTTTATTCGTCACATGAGCTGAAAGAGAACGGAAAGTTTGCTGAGGAGCTCAGTATTTTTTTCTGGTCAACATGGAAAAACCTCTTTCTTTGTAAAAACAGCTTCAGTCCAAGAAATAATCCAAAACAAACCCCTCAACGTCCTTCATGAGAAGAAAACTAAACTAATCATTGATTTCAATTACAAGTTCTTCTCTTCTTTCTTTCCTCTGCAAATCCTGCACAGAACCGACGGCACCACAGTGGTTGGGATTAAAAGTGCAACAGCGCTCTTTCCGAAAGACAGGAAATAGAAAGTCATGTGGTTTCCTGAGGAGAATGTCCATCCATCCAGCAGCTGAAGCAGGATCAGAGAGATTACAATGCATCCCGCCTTGGAAGCAGCGCTTCTGTTCTTCTTCTCACTGTGGAGCGGCGAGTGCAGGCCCAGGCCCAGGCCGAACAGGGTGCCCATGTTCCGCAGGAGGCTGGCGAAGGGCGTGCTGTCCATGTGGATCCACTCGGGCCTGACGCACCACCTCTGGGCTTTCTCCAGGGTCCACAGCAGGTCCACGCCCAGAGCTTTGAGCAGCAGGTAGAAGCCGACAGCGAAGGAGGTCAAGAAGAAGGTGGTGAAGAAATACTTCTTCATGCTGGCGCTGTAGATCCATTTCTCCTTGGAGACAACTTCAGCCACGAGGACACCTGACACAAAACCAGAGGCAGGTCCATCAAACAAGATCACAGCCGTAGAAGAGGTATTCAAGTCATGTTAAAATACATTGGTTTTACTTTTAAAAAGTAAAATATTTCTCTCTGAAATGTAGTCCTCAAGTAAAGCACAAAAAAAACCTGGTTACGTCTGAATACTCAAAATATTTATCCGTAACTTATCTGCGTAATGAATCTATGAAAAGTCAGTTTGACTCTTGTCGTGATGTTTTGATCCAGACTAACCTGTGATGACTCCAGAGATCACCTGGTGTGGGAAGTGTGCGGCCATGTAGACCCTTGACATGCAGACCACCAGCTCCACCAGGCCCATCAGCATCCACAGGCCCATCTGCAGGAGTCTGACAGGGAGGGAATGAAGGCTGAAGGTGAGCACACGGACCCCAGAGGTTCAGAGAAACACTCGTTTTCTCATAGAAACTAATTATTGCGATAACACAGACTCACTTGTACAGTAAAGGTTTACATCGCTGCTCTGTGGCCATAGAGAGGAGCGCTGTGACCATCACGTACCAGACGGCAGCTGCACCCATAGCGTGACCTGATGGACTTCCTGCAAGAGCAGACTCTTATTTTAACAGATTGAAACAGGTTCATTCGTCAGTGACAGTTTCTAATGTCCCGTTTTAGAGCGAAACGTTTTGAATAATATCTTGAAGAGTTTAATAAATCCCACTCAGGTCACATGGATCTTTATTATTTTCAGTAACTCATTATGGACAATTAATCTGCTGAATATTCTTTTTCTAGAGAATCAATCGATTAATGCACAGAGACGTTTAAGTGTGAAGCAGCAGAATGAATCTCGAGTAAATGCACTTGGTTACAAACTGCTGACAACCAGGAGACGTTATATTAAATCACTACGAGAGGCCAAAGGTTCAGGAGTTTATAATTAATTTATCAGGTTTGAGATTATGTTCATTCATTCAGAGAAAACCAGGAACTCCTCGGATATGATGAGGAAACAAATCAACGATGAGTCTCATCACTCCAACAGATCCCTGGAGAAAAGACAGTGATCCTGTGCAGCTCGGTTCTCTACCTGGTCCAGTCTCACATGTGAAGGGGAACTGCTGCAGAGGAGGAACCGGATTTGCTCCATAGAACCGGGTCTCGTGAACCCACCAGTAGGGTCTCTCCCCGAAAAGAACCCTGGAGAAACCAAGAAGACTCAACTACCACTTTCTCTCTTTGGACCTTGTTTCTTAACTTTATTATCCGATGAGGACAGATTACCATTTCAGGACCAAATTGAGCCAGTCCCCGATCACAGCCACCCAGATGAGCCTGAGCCCTGTGTCCCTGCGCAGGTGGAACCACACCGGGAACAACCAGAAGAACGTGGTGTGCAGATCGGCCACCGTGGACGCCAGGTTGAAAATGCCCCCGTAGCTGCTGTATCTGGTCTGCAGGTGGACGGCCAGCTCAACCCCCCAGCTGTGGAAAAGATCCATGATGTCGCAGCCCAGACCTGGTGCACCGAGTCGGGGGTGTTGTTGGTTAGGACCAAGTTCTCTCAGGCTGTTCCCTCTGCTCAGCCACTGTGTGATCCACACTGGACTTTACTCAATGTTTGCACATTTGTTTGCCTTTGGGACGGTACTGACGGTTCCTTAACCTTTGACCCCCCGAGGCCCCTGAGGCCAAAACCCATCATTACGGAAATCAGCTGCCGCCCCTCTGAAGGGCCACGGGTTTCTAGGAAAATCTCTTTTTTCTTTGATTAACGAAAGAGAAACGTAGCTCGTGTTCCCACAGTGCGCCAGCTGCTTGTGAAATCCATTGATCTTGGCTCTAAATGTATCTGCTGCGTCACATTAACGGCTTTTGTCCTATTTATCCTTTCCTGTCCTCCTTGTGCTTGATGAGAGAAAACAATCACGACCAACGTGTCCCAGGAAACAAGAGAAAACGTGGGGGGTGGGGGGGGGGGGCGGGGGGTATGTCCCTGTCAGACATAGTCGTCATAACAGAGCACTTGTGTTCGACCTACAACCTGCCAATCTGCTTCTCCTGTGTTATCACCGACTATCTCCACAGCTCCGACTCAGTCCGCTCATTTAATCATTGATGTCCTTATGCAACCTACAACTGGGTTACTCCACCTTTCTGAGAGGAGCCGTGTTTTCACCCAATCATCAAAAAAACTATTGTGTAACTGAGAAATTATTACTCGAGGGCTGGAGCAGAAAAAAAAAAGTATCCTCATTGTCACTTTTGGATTCACCAGATTCAGATTTTTAATCGAACACACTCATAGATGTCAGTCCCCAAATCGTCAAGAAGCACGAATTATTCTCTGAAAGTCAAACTAAATACCACATTAGTTGAATCAGCCCTCGCTCTGGATCTGCACCAAAATTCTTTGGGTTCGTTCCTAATGTTGCAGTTTCATGGTGATCTGTCCTCTAGTTTTTGCTAAATAACAAAACAGGTTCTCTCGAGTGAGTTAAAAACAGACCGTCCTCTAGTTTTTGTGCAAACTAATAGACAAACAAAAACGAATACACAACCTCCTTGGCAGAGGTAAACGTCCTCACTGGGGATTTCACTCAAAGAAATAAAGAATTGTGACGTTCAGAAATATATTGTGGCACAAGTAAGAACAAAATCCATTAGAGAAACTGTTGGTTTGCAGATGATGGGTTCGATTTAAGTCACAATTGTGAAAGAGCCGCTGGTCCACTTCCTCTCTCTGTTAAGAACAATACCTCAGTGAGAAAGATACCGATTGACGTTTTTCTTTCATGCTATCTTTCTCTCTTGTTTGTGTGACAAACGTCCCAAACTCTCCTGACTCCCGCTGTTTTATTGCACATGTGCAAGGTCCAAAGATCAGCAGGAGCATGCGTTTGGGTAGTGGGTCCCTCTGGTATAAAACCAACCAGCTGTGTCACTGATAGCAACAGTCCCTAACTCACTCACTCTTCTCCAGACTGAGATTTCTCTCCCGGCTGCAGAGGCCAAGATGCTGAACACTGTCATGGACGCCCTGCAGGGTTTTGGGGTGAGCAGCACCCACTACCTGCAGACCAACTACCAGGACGCCCAGGGCTTGTTTCTCTGGGTGTCCTGGGCGGCAGACCTCAGGAACACCTTCTTCATCTTCTTCCCGCTTTGGTTTCACCTGCGAGCCTCCGTGGGCATCAAGCTCATCTGGGTGGCCGTGATCGGAGACTGGCTGAACTTGGTGTTTAAATGGTGAGTCGAGTAAATCTTGGACTTTGTGGGATTAAATATTCTCAATTTTCTCAGAACTGAGGTCCTGTTTTTGTTTTTTCTGCAGGATTCTGTTTGGGGAGAGGCCTTACTGGTGGGTCCACGAGACGGCTCACTATGCAAACACCGTCCCTCCTCACATCGAGCAGTACCCCATGACCTGTGAGACTGGGCCAGGTGAGAAATCCAACTTTACCTGCATGCATGGATTCAAAAAACGAGTTCTTCCCACTCTCCATGTATTGTCTCCAAATTTTGGACAGTTATATTATATTAAGTATATAAGTATTTCAAGTTCCAGAACTGTTTAAATATATATTTATGAAGTGGGACATCATGAAAACCTACTTAAAGTATTAAAAGTAAAAGTATTTGTCCCCTGTGACAGACCGACCATCCTGAGCAAATGTATTTTCACCACCGTCTCTAAAGCAAAGCAAAGTTTGGTCTGTCGCCCAGCATTGAGTTGAGCTAATCAGCCTCTGATCCGTCCAGGCAGCCCCTCTGGTCACGCCATGGGAGCCGCTGGTGTCTACTACACGCTGGTGACCTCCATCCTCGCCCTCATGATCAGCAAGAAGAAATATGGAAGCAAGAAATCCACCAACAAAGAGTGGTGAGTGTTCTGAGAGGTCCGAGAGAATCAACTTTACTTTTACTTTACCGCTTATGTCAGGGTTGTTTTCCACTCAGGGCTTATCACTGTGGACACACTATCTGTCCCCCTGGTTGATCATTGACTCCTGAGAACTGAATCTTCTCCCGTGGGTTGTTTTGACGTCCAGGCAGCTTAAGTTCTCATGATAAGCAAAGAAAACTGTGTTGATTGTTTTACAGCTTTAAAAAGTCGACTTTCTTGTGATGGGGCATGAAGCCGGACTGATTTACAGCATCAAGCATCTTCTGTCTCGTGTCGACGTTTGTATTTTCTTTGACGGGATTTGTTCAAATGTGTTTTTTTGGGCAGGTACCTGAAGGCCGTTCTGTGGACGCTGTTTTGGGGAGTCCAGGTGTGTGTGTGTCTCTCCAGGGTCTTCATCGCCGCCCACTTTCCCCACCAGGTCGTTGCCGGGGTTATCACAGGTCAGTGGGCACGTTGTGTCAGTAGACGATGGAATAACAAATTAGAGTAACGGTGAAGGTGGAAGGTTTGTGTTCAGAAGTCAGGACTTTGGTGGATTTAGGGGTTAGGATTATACGATGAGGTGACCAAAGAAATTTATCAAAATCATGATTAACTCAGCATTAATTCCAATTTGGATAAAGGTGAATATTCAGAGACCTTAGTGAGAGAATCAACATGAAACTAGAATATCAATCAGGAGAGCACCAAGGCCCAACAGTCCCTTAAATCCAATCCAAGATGCTTCAAATTTTACACACTCATAAATATCAGTTCCATAAATATGCCAGACTTTTTTCATCAAGATCCATTTTATTATTCTCTGGGAAAACAGTAACAACAACAACGCCATATTTTGCAATGTTCAAGAAAAGTAAAAAAAAAAAAATCCTAGATCCGTCCCCTGATTCAGATCTGAACCAAAATGTAATGAGTTCTTTTCTGACCCATATTGCATCCTTCTGCCAAGTTTCATGGAAATCGGTCCAGCAGTTTTTCTGTAATTGTGTTCAAAACAAGCAGAAAAACCAACGATTGGGGTGAAAACATCACTTTGTTTGCAGAGGGAACAACACAATGTGTTCAACATATAATTAACCTGTGCTTTTGAACACGTGTTCTCTCAGGTATGATCGTGGCTGAAGCCTTCAACAGAACCCAGTGGATCTACAGCGCCAGCATGAAGAAGTATTTCTACACCACCTTCTTCTTGACCTCCTTCGCTGTCGGCTTCTACCTCCTGCTCAAAGCTCTGGGCGTGGACCTGCTGTGGACCCTGGAGAAAGCCCACAAGTGGTGCGTCAGGCCCGAGTGGGTCCACATGGACAGCACGCCCTTCGCCAGCCTCCTGCGGAACATGGGCACCCTGTTCGGCCTGGGCCTGGGCCTGCACTCGCCGCTCTACACGGAGACTAAGAAGAGCAGCAGCCGGTTGGTGAAAGCGGGCTGCGTCGTCAGCTCCCTGCTCCTGCTGCACCTGTTCGACTCCTTCAAGCCTCCCACTCACACCGCGGCCCTCTTCTACCTGCTGTCCTTCTGCAAGAGCGCCACCGTGCCTCTGGTCACCGTCAGCATCATCCCCTACTGCGTGAACGGAGCCCTGAGCCTGCAGAACAAGAAGGGAGTGTGAGCGGTGGACGCAGATCTTAAAGATCTTCATGAACGTGTCTCTCAGGAGAAGCAGAAGAGATCAATGAGAGATTGTCACTGGTGCCTTTTGAACACTGAACTGTGTGTGTGACAATATGTGAAAGCACTATCCAGGACGCCCAGCAGCACTTCCAAAGACATATTCTGAATTTATTCACAAAAACCACGATTAATGGACAAACAATCAACTCAAGTCACTGTTTGTTTTCAGTCGCTGTGTTGAAACTCAGTCCGAGGACGATGTCCCTCACTCACAGCTTTGATGTGTTATTTCAAATGTAACAATAATGTATTTTTAAATGTTACACAAAATATTTTTGAGACAGTTTTGAATATTTTTTAATAAAAATCTTGAAAATGTATTAAATGACCCGGTTCATGTTTTTACTGCATCACACGATGACACGATATCATTTCCTTTGGTCGATATTTACCTATATTCAACAAATATTCAGATATTTTACCAAATAGTAGCAGTACCACAGTTGTTGATGTTTAAACCAACATCGTTAACTTTTGAGTTGACCGTGACTGCACCAGCGCTGCGGCCTTTAGCCCGACGTCGCAGCGCTGACACAGATGCACACACGTCTGTCACTCGGTGCACATAAGGCCGGCAGAGCTGAACACGTGACACCGTGGACGAACGCAAAACAACGTTGTTGTTTAGTGAGCCAGAAAGTCATGTGACCCTTGATGCAAATGAATCCCTCCCGTGTCAGAAGTGACAAAGAAAAGGTTTTCGATAGATGGACAGGTTTGTGAAACAGGATGATGAACAGAGAATAAAGTTAGTAGCATCTGGGAATTAAGATTTTTAGGTTTTTGCGAAGGATGAGAAGACTCAGTTAAGTTTATGGCCAATAATGTAAAATAATTTGTCAACTTTAGGAGAAGTCTCATAAATATATTTATAGGAGAATAACTGTTTTGATTATTTCTTCAGTTAAATCATCTGGTTAAATCTCTTGTATCTGTACATGCATTAAAAACCTTCACTTGATCTGATCTCATTGAGATAAAGTAGAGTAAAGCAAGCAGGAAGACAAACAAAGCATATGTACAAAAAAAACAGATATTACAAAAGTACACAGCGAATGATTCAGATCTGCCTCAAATTAATCATTGAGTCAATCAACATATTTGTTTCCAACAAGAAACTGTCATGTAATATGTATATTTAAGTACTTTAGTCTCCAAACAATTATATATGATCTATATGATTGTTTCTCACAATGTCTACTGTGTTTTATTTTTGTTTCTAAAAACTTTGCAACATTTATTTTTTAGTTTCTAGAAAATATTCAATATGAATATTTAGTTTGAAAAAAAACTTTTTAAGATTTTAATCATTAATCAGTGAGAAACGTTTTCTGAGAAGTGTGTAATACTGGAGGACTCCCATCGGGGGCGCTGTGGGGGGGGCGAGCAGATGATTCACACCCGGACAGGAAGAGGTGGACCGGAAGTGAGCTGCAGAGTGCCTGTGTGTGTGTGTTGAGGTGAAAAATGTCGAAGGTGTGAAACTACCTGAGGCTGAAGAAGAGGAGGAGGATGGAGCTGCAGCCGATGAAGACTCCGCTCAGCGACAGACTGAGAGTTGCTGTGCAGGAGATAGTCCACGTGCTGCAGAGGAAGATGATGAAGAGGATGAAGATGATGATGAAGAAGAACTCTGGTTTGTGCACATTCTGTTCTTCAAGTTCAACAAGCAAACGATTCTCAAACAGTTTGTCTGATTAAAAAATATTCAACATCCCTGAAAAACCTCGAGTCTCTAATGAACTTCACTCATCGATTCGTGTGAATCCATCATTTCTATTAATTCAGTGGTTGATTCGTGTCTGTTTATTCATTTCTTGAATATTTAATTTCTTTCAAATGTCAGGAAATACTAAAACATGATTTTAAATGTCTGTGGTTCGGTGAAAGATTACGTGAAGTTAAAATGAGACTTCTGACTTATTTTTCCATAAAAAGAGAGATTAATAAATCATCAATGCAGCTTCCATTCATGTTTGTGTCAATGAATTCATTGATTGATTTTTACAAATTACTGTTATTTATACTGTTACAGTCTTCGTGTTTATTTTTCTGTGTTTTCTGTCTTTTTCTAGTTGTGATATATTGATTTTACCTCTTGATAAACTTTCCACCAGCTGAATGAAACCAGTCACTTAAATTCATTTTGAATTTAAAGTCAAACCCAATTATGTCCTGAATTTTGAAAAATGTGGGTGCAGTTGAATTATTTTGACATTTGTCTCGTTACGATTTCATTTTCTTGTTCTTTTCCCCGTACTTCCTGCAGAAACGTCAGCTGAGCACCAGAGGGCCGTCGTGCACAAGCGACTGTCGGTTGTTGCGGACGACATCTTTAGGATCCTGGAGAAAATGATGAGTGATTATGAAGCGGATATCTCCCGTTCCCATGACGACATCGAGCAGCAGCGCCTGGACGTCACGTTGAAAACTGAGACGGACTCAGGTACGTTTCACCTGAATCATGTTTTTTTTTTTACCATCAGCCGTTCTTGTAAAAACTTGACACAAATTAAAATTAAATAAAATATTTAGGGAAACTTTTTTATTTGTCTGATGTTTCCTTGTAAGAAATTCTTGAAAGTTTCCAGGAAAGAAACATTTGATTTGGTTCAGATAGAAAAAAAAAAAGATTTTTTTAAAATGTTTTTCTTTTAGTGATTATTGATTTTCAGATGAATTTCCATGAAAGAAAATGCTCCATTTACAATTTCACACCCTCATTTATTTTTAAAACCTTGTGTTTCATTTATGCTCGATTGTTTCTGCAGACTCATTTTAAATATTTCTCCTTCTCTCCACTGAGTCATCGTCTCAGACTCTTAGTTAATAAACATGGTAATAAATGAATTCTTCTGCTTCACTGTTTTTCAGCTGTTTGTGACAGAATTTCTGTATTTATCTTTTCAATCGTTTTTGTAGCTGTGAGTGTGTTTGTGTGATTTGAGCTCAGTTCATACTCACACGTTGTTGCTCTCTCTTCATGCTGAACTTCCTCTTCAGATCGACTCTGTGGGTCGGACGTTTCCTCCGAGCAGCAGAGACGTGAGCAGAGCAGCAGCTCGAAAACATCAGGTTCACCGCAGTTCAAAGACGCGTCCACGGAGACGGACTCCGAGTTCATCCACACTAAGCCTTCACATCTTCACCCGACACAAATGGTGGAGAAAGGCACCTCGACGCTGACGGAAACAGAGACTCGCGGGGAACAGTGTGTGCTGTCGTCGAGAAATTCAGAAGCTGGGAGCGAAAATAAAGACAGCAAGAAAGAGCCGAGTGAGAAAACGCTCAAATCAAACAAGAAAATAACTCTTCAGAGCCCGAGACAAAGCCACGGGGCTTCCCACGAGGACGACGCCGGCCGGAAGAAAATAAAAACGCACACGAGGAAAAATGCTACGACAGACAACAGTCAGACTGCAGGACAGAGCTGTTGCAGAGTGTGTGGAAAGTTTTTCCGCTACAAACGCTCTTTTCTGAAACACGTTCTTCAGCACGAGCACAGCAGCGACCTGTGTGGAGTCTGCGGAAAACATTTGGAGTCTCACGACAGCCTCAGGTTTCATTTACAAACCCACAGAGAGGAGAACATCTGCAGGGTCGAAGCAAGTGACAAACAGTCGGAGGCAGACGCTGAGAGTAACGCGGGGGACAGTGACGAGGACTGGAAGGAGAGCGAAGGCAGTGACGGCGAGGATGTGGACAGCGATAAAGATGAGAGCAAAAAAAGAAAGACGCAAACAAAAATCCCGGCGTCAAACAAACCGAAAAAACCAAGGTACCAGGATTTATCTCACGTGAAATACTGCTGCAAAGTGTGCGGCAGGTCTTTCTGCTACAGAGCCTCTTTTTTGAAGCACGTGCAGGAAGACGAGATGGACACAGACGTTTGTGGCGTCTGTGGGAAACGGTTTGCGACTGAGGAGAACCTGAGGCTTCACTTGCAGACGTACATCAGATCCAACGACTGTGAAGTTTGCGGCAAACATTTTGACGGCCACCAACAGCTGGAGATGCACATGAGAACCCACACGGGAGAGAAACCGTACATCTGCAGCGTCTGCGGCAAAGCCTTCGCTCAGAACGGAAACCTGATGGGACACATGAGGAGGCACACGGGTGAGAGGCCGTATGTTTGCAGCGTGTGCAGTCAGGGCTTCAGCTCTAAAGAGAGCATGAGGGATCACATGCGGATCCACACCGGCGAGAAACCATTTCTCTGCAGCATCTGCGGAAAAGGATTCAGACAGAGGGGGACCCTGAAGACGCACATGATGATCCACACGGGGGAGTTCCCGCACCGATGCATTATCTGCGACAAGAAGTTCTTCAAGAGCGGTGGGCTGAAGATCCACATGAGGTCGCACACCGGGGAGAAGCCGTTCCTGTGCAACATCTGCGGGAAAAGCTTCACCGCCAACAGCTCGCTCACCAAACACATGGGCGTCCACGATAGAGACCGAACGCACGGCTGCAGAGTCCGCGACAAGCGACCCTCGAGGGAAGAGGATCTGAAAAGACAAGTTCAGACTCACGGGGATCAAGTTGCGCAGATGACGACTCTTCAACGCTAAATTACAGACGGATGGAAACCCAGAAAACTGGCTGACGTTGGTGTGGAGGCATAAGAAAATAGTTTTAATGTTCAGTTTTCCATCTTATCAATGTCACAGGTTGAATTTGAGTTATAATCACCGAACAGCTTTTATTATTTTTGTAATTTACAACAGTTTATTATTTAAGATAATAAATAAATGTGTCCTTTTGTCTTTGAGTCTTTAAGGTTTTTTTTTTAGATGCGAGAACGTTCCTCAGTGGAGCTCAGACGATCCATGAATCCACAGACATGACATGAAAATCCAGTTTCAGTTGATGAGGTTTAGAAACCTGTAAAACAACAGTGAGAAACCAGACGGACTCACAGACGTGTAGTTTAAACACAATTTATTTTTCTGCTTAAATAATTACTTGGATCATCCAGTGTAAGCTATGTCGGTTCATCATACATGTCGGTACCAGATTCATCATCAACAATGGATTCGCAGGGTGGCTTCGTATGAAAAGAAAAACAAAGTGACTTACAGAAGAACAGAAAATCCGATTTTTAATGTTTGATTAACACCGATTTCTTTTCTGTGATTTTAGTCGTTAATAAAAAGGATCAGGCGTGAGTGGCGGGGCTAAAAAAAAAAATTCAATCCTCTGTTCTAGTGTAAATTAAATAAAGATACAAGTCATCAAACCATCAAAATAAAATAAAAGTCCCCTTTTTAAAAACCACAGCAGACCCGAAGCCGACACTCTCACTTCTAGTTTGCTTGATAGACGAGATACAGAAAGTTTTTATTTAATGTCACACACACACACACACACACACACACACACACACGGGGCTGCGAGCAGTGTGGAGAAAATGCAATGTTGCAGGTCAGCAGGTTACATTCAGGGAACCTCAGTAACTTGCTGATGCGTAAAAATGAAGCTTTGTTATCTTGCTGCTTGAGTGCGTCTTATAAAAAAAAAAATAAAAACAGTTAATTGATGACAGATGGTTGAGTTATCGCGACAGAATCACCAGATCGTATGACAGAGCTTTGAATTAGGGGGGAAACGAAAGAAAAGCGTTAAAATTAAGTTGACGTCACATGCAGCAACGTTATCATTTCTCTGACGACAATGTTCCACAGACTGAGCGGAAGAAGCTGTTTAAAGAAACGTCCGTTTGAAATCGAGCAGTTTTTTTGTTTCCCGTTTACATGGAGTTTTTTAATGATTTAATTTGGGAAGAGCACGTCAGGTCTCACTCTGTCGACCTCGATACAAATGCATCGACTCTGCAAAGCTTCAACTCAAATCAGTGCATAAACAATCTGTGAAGCTACTGATTTTTTTTTTTTTTAAAAGATTTTTATACAGTGTCACTTATATACAACAAAATCCCCCATTTACTATTATATTTCATTTTTTAAAAAAGAACCACGTGGTGCAGCCCAACACTGGGTCCGGGAGGAAAAAAATAGACCATATAAGGCGAGTGTCTGAGAGAGAGAGTGACTCACACGTCTTTTAGTTTTTTTTCCCCGTCGATGTCGTCTTTGGCCTCAGACGCCGTTCATTCGCGAAAGACGAAAGAAAAAGTTCCAGCTCATGTCCGTGCGTGTCCTTCTGTGTCGTGTCCGGACAGTGAGTGAGTGAGTTTGGTGACATGCTCATGCGAAATCAAAGAAAAGTAACTTGTTTTGGGTCGCCTTGTTGAAGACCATGCGTTGTAGAGTGAAAGCGTCAGACACGTATTTTGGCTGATTGACGAGGCGTTGTCTCTGTTTTCAGGGACTCCAGTTTGTTTTTCCTGTCCAGGGTGTGTGTGGTGTCGCAGGTGGACGTCACTGGACCTGGAGGAGGAAAGAGATTACACATTTTAAATTCTCGCGTGCTGCAAATGGATTCTTGGGATATCATGTTCATAAGGCAAAAAATTTAATTTGAGACGTCACTGTGACCTTGATTTTTTACCTTTTCCCACCAAAATCTAATCATTTCATCTTTGATTCCAAATGAACGTTTGCACCAAATTTGAAGCGATTCTCTCAAGCCGTTCTTGAGATATCATGTTCATATCAGCCGGCAAAAAATTTGATTTGAGACGTCACCGTGACCTTGATCTTTGACCTTTTCCCACCAAAATCAAATCATTTCATCTTTGATTCCAAGTAAACGTTTGCACCAAATTTGAGGAAATTCTCTCAAGGCGTTCTTGGGATATCATGTTCATAAGGCAAAAAATTTAATTTGAGACGTCACCGTGACCTTGATCTTTAAATTTTTTTCACCAAAATTTTATCGGTTCATCTTTGATTCCAAGTCAACGCTTGTACCAAATTTGAATCGATTCTCTCGAGCCGTTCTTGAGATATCATGTTTATATCAGCTGGCAAAAAATTTGATTTGAGACGTCACCGTGACCTTGATTTTTGTCCTTTTCCCACCAAAATCAAATCATTTCATCTTTGATTCCAAGTGAACGTTTGTACCAAATTTGAAGAAAATCCCTCAAGGCGTTCTGCAGATGTCGTGTTCACAACAACAGGACGGACGAATGGACAATCCAAAAAGTGCCATTAGCGTCTTACCAGCTTAGGTTCAGAGCTCCACTGTTATGACTGACTCTTCTTCCCTTGTTTCTTGTTGGCACCGTCTCCAGACTTGAGACCGACAGACAAACAAAGAGGTAAAAGGAGACGGAAAGAAGAAAAGACAAATGTGAGCGATGTCCTAAATATGATGCATGTGTTAGTGAAGCGGATTCAGCTCAGCTGCTGTACGTTGACACATCACACGCTGGGAAAGAGATTACAGACAAGAAAGAAGAAAGTTAGAATGACACATTTCCAAACCTGTAAATAAAGATGGACGACACGATACCGCCACAAAAGTGAAGCCAAATTATCTTGATCACCCCCTAGTGGCTGGCTGATGCATCGGTCGTAACCTCCTCCATGTTAGCAGGTTTAGTTGATGTTTTATCTTGACTTTTTTCGCACAAATGCAGGAAGTGGAGACACGTCGTCCATCTTTATTTATAGTCTATGTTCCAGATGGAACGCTAGCATCGCTACGCGTTAAAAGAGAGGAAACAACAGGTGAAACGTTTGTTATATTAGTAATTTTCAGGCCCAATCAACAAGCTGTTGACGTGGTAACACACAGCACGACACAACCACCGCAAACTACACAACACCTGACGACTCCAATGTCGCTGCAGCTCTGCCACAAACTCAACAAACCGCCTCGAGAGCCGCGGAGCTGGGAGTTAATCCAGAGTTCGGCACATTTCACCGAGCGGTTGAAGTAGATCACAGCTTCATGCAGGTGTGAGTGAACCAGAAAAACTCTGCGGACTAAGTTAGAGGGTCGGTTTTAACGCCAACCTCAGTTTTCCCTCTCTGGGCCTCCTCTCCAGACTTCTCCGCCTTGTGGCCCTGTCTGGAGCGTTTCCCTCTCTTCTTGCCCTTCCCCCCTGAGGCCCCTGCTCGAGGAGAAGGAGAAGCGGCGTCTGCTCCACCTGTTGCTACACCGCCACCACCACCACCACCACCAGCTCCTTCTTTCTCGCCTTCACTTTCCCTCCTTTCCTCAGAGTTGGCCACGCGCCAAACCACCTTTCTGATCACCTGTAGGGGGCAGAAGCATGTCGGAGGGGGGGT